TGATCCAATTTCTTCTTGTATTTGTTTAGATATATTTTGGATTTGCTTTTTGAAATTTAATATTAGATAAGACCATATTTTTTTGCATAATGCCCTTCTAAATATTAAATAAAACTATTTTTTTTTTGTATAATACCCTTATAAATATTGAATATATACTAGATATTAACATATATATTGGATTTGTCTTTTAAACTCTAATCCTTCATGTCTCTTCTATTAATAAATGTTAGTGTCTTTATGAAATTATGAATTTTAAATATTGTATAGGTCTTATATATTTGACATATATTTGAATTACGCCTATATAATCAGTAATCTTTCCCTTTTGTTTTCTTGAGATTGTAATGAAAATTGAAACATGAAATGAAAATTAGCATTTAATAAGGTTTTTTAACTAAATAATTAATTAGTATTAGACTTTATTAAAGAAAAATATAGAAAAATATAGAAACTTTTTAATTTTAATTTTAATTATTTAAGTTCACCTTATCCAATTTGAGACCCATGTGGTTCGATCATACACCTACCACCACAAGAAAATTCACATTTAGTGACTAAATTATTTATCATTAAATCTTTATTTTTCGTCACAAATTATTATTAGTGATAAAATTTAAACCGTTAGTTAAACTCTTGTCACTAATACTCTTAGTGATAAATTAGGCACCTGTCACAGAATATAATTTTATAGTGATAGAAAAAATTGACATTATTAACAAGTTATTTATAACCATTTTATTCGTCACAAAAAAATATTTTTTGTTGCAATAATTTTCTTCATAAATGTTACAATTGAGTGACAAAAAAATAGTCACAAATGCAATTGTGATGAAAAATTTAGTCATTAATTATTAAAAATTGATATTAAATAAAAAGATATTTATATAATTACAATACAAATATTGTAACAAAAATTTTATCACAAAAAAATAATATATAAATTTATAACAAAAGTTTAATAAAAAAATATTATTATTTCAATACTAATCAATTTTGATTAAAATTAATCAAGCCCAAACTAATCTCAAGTTTTATTGAGCTTCACATATTTTATCGTGCAAAAATTTATTTTCTTAAATATTTCTCATTGATATGAGATATATTTATAGTGCAAAACCTTATTTTCTTATATGTTTTTTTATTGATATGGGATGTATTGATTAGAGAAAACTGAAAATTTTTAGTGACGAAATATATTTTTAGTGATGAATTATTTGGTCATCATTGAATGTGTAAGGTATATGTAACCAATATTAGAATTCTGTCATAATTGTGATGCATTATAGTGACGATTTTTATCAACAAAAACTTATTTTATCTCTATGAATATTTTTCGGTGATGAAATATATTTTTTATGATGAATTTTTTTGTTTATCATTAAATATGTATGTATCTGTGATTAATTTTTTAGATATGTTACAATTATGATAAATTATAGTGATGATTTCAAAATTCATCACAAATTTCTGTCACTAAAAACCAATTTTCTTATAGTGTACCCCTTTAATCCGACACATGAAATGACTCAATCCAAAAACTCAAAATTCAAGACAACCTAATTT